TCAGTGCACATAACTTGTTGAAATTTCAGTTGCAGTTATGTCCCTTGACAATCATTTTCATCTTAGATCAATATTGGCATAAAATCATATTAGCCATCCATATTCATTTATATGTCGAGTCCAGCTGCACAGACTCAGACCTGACATCTCATAATGTGCTTGCAGATTTGGGAAACAAATAATACAAACCCTGAAGGCAGATCAGGGTCTTTTGTTTGTAATTGGACTGGATTTAAAATGACTTTCTATGATACATGTAGTGCTTATATTTATTGTTAACTGGATATTTATTTGTTAATGTTAATTGGATATTTATTTGTTAATTGGATATTTTACCATGCTTAATAGTACAAAGTATTCTCATACTGTAACAAGTCTTCATAAAATATTTTCTTATCACAATGAAATCTGCTTTATCAGACATGTGCCAGTAAAATACCAAATTTAGGAACCCCTTTTCTTTATAGCATGACCTACATTTTCAGCCAGATTGCAAAGTTTACAAATACAGTGTTTGACAGAAAGCATATGCTGATGGTTTAATTTTATTTACCAAATTTGTAACAATTTTATGCAAAAATAACCGCTTTGTGAAGATTAATTTATGTATTATCAGTTTTTTTTGTTGGTTGGTTGTCATTTTTCCATTTCATCTGTCTCCTACAGGCATGTACATTATAAATCCAAATGAAGACCAGGATGGATTTTGACAGTGCAGTTGTAAGAACATTAGCATATATCTGTAGGTATACTTAGTATTTTTGGGGGTGGTGGACTTGCATTTTACATCTGACTGGGGGAGGGGGTTACACTCCCAGTTAGATGTAGTTTACATCTGGCTGGAAAGGATACCAAATTAAATATATTTAACCTTGTTTACAGGAACAGGGTATTACACATCCTGAATGAGTTAATATAATTTTTCCAGCTTTATTGATACTGACATCAAGATTTTAAACCTTTGAAAATTGAACACAGTATTTTTATTGGTACACATTTGCATTGAACCTTAGTAAGCTGTCCTGACCTAAGGCTCTCATATATTGTCCTTTCAGTGGCATCATGGATAGGATGAGGATGGATGAGTCAATGCATTTGTCAACTTTTAACAGTCAACTGCACCATGCAGTTCAACAAAACAAAAAATGTAGACTCTTGGGTTATTTGTTGTGTAGATTCAGTGTAATTAAACAGTCTTAAACCACTCCATATATATTTGGTTACTCATGCTGTTTATTTTATGTATTTTATTCATTTTTGTGATCTGTATATATCAGATTTAATGACACATCAACAAAATAGTAATGCAAATCAAGGTTACCTGTATTATCAAGGTCAAAATGCATTGACTCATCCATCCTTTCTGCTTCACAGTATAGAACTTATAGAAGTACACAGCAGCCTTTCAGGGCAGACACATTTATAGCCAGGGGCTTGATTATGCCTGTAGCAACAGCCAATAAAAACATAGGTTATGTCCTGTGTAGGTTAGCTATATTAAAAGTAATTTTATTTGTCTGAAAGAGGTTGAAAGGTTTCATTACATTTATTCTCATTTGAAATCTAATGTTTACTTCTCATAATATACAGTTTTGAAGATCTGACTGAATTTACTGGAGAAATTTTTGAGATATCCCCAAAATAATTCAGACATTGTTACAGCAGTTCAAGACAGCAGTTCCTGTGATTTTTATTCCGGATGTCAATAACATGGGTGAAATGGCACTGTAAAACTAGTTATAGATTTTGTCAAACCCACATTAGTGGAGCAGCAAGATATAACAGTCACTTTTCTGCCAGCATCAGTTGCGGTGACATCAGCAGTTTTGCTTTGCATTTTCCTCAACTCTGAAATGAATTTTTATGAAAATGTATTCTGCATAATGCTTGTTTGACTCGTTTGAATTTGAGATTGTGGTTACAGTTGTAAAAGATCTGGTTTATGGCTTCTTTTAAAGTTGTTTTATTGGCTTATATTTCCTAAATCCTTGATGAGGGATTTGGTTGATACTTGGCTGTCTGAATTGAACTCATGTCTTTCAGTCTTTAGGCATGATGGTTTCTACTTGATAAATTTAGTTTCTTGTGATCATCATAAACCACGTATGCCTTACACATGGAGAGAGGCAGAAACCTTTTAATATTAAGTCTGCTTGAGTCATAGCCAAAGTCAGTTGGGCTGATTTTCCTTCTTGTATAACAAGTTTTGGCCAAATTTTCAACAAACTTGATAGGTAGATCACACCTCAGCATGGACAGCTTGAATTTTTTATTCTCTTGCCAAGCTCTGAAAGGTCAAGGTCTCTGGCACCAATATATTTGTATTTTTTTTGGATCCAAGAGTCAAGGTCACAGGAGCTAATAATTTTGGTTGAGGTCACAGGAGCTAATAATTTTGGTTGAGGTCACAGGAGCTAATAATTTTAGGTTACGAGTTTAGTTTACTCAAGTTTTATGCATAGTTGTATTACATTTGATGAACAACACCCTATTGAATTTGCAGTTAGTAGATGGAAGCTCAAGGTCACTGGATTTCAGATTGCAAAATTATATTTATGATAATGTTGTAATAGCTAGTCAATTAGGCAAATATACCATTCTTGTGAAAGCTTTTTTATAAAAAAGTTTTGCATTATATTATTATGGGAACTGCCATGGGACATCCATGTTCCATGAATATGTAACTGGTTTATCACTGTCAGAGTTGTTAAAGACAATGTTTATACATCCATACATTTTGTAGCTATGTTCACCGTTATATGCATATCATGAAATGATATGCATTGCAGGAATTACTGTTAAATTTGTTTGCTGCTATAAAGCCATATACATTTATTCTTGTATACTATCATTGTACATTTTATGTCATTTTTTGGGGCTCTTGGTGATGTAAATATTCATAATAAAAAATGTAACTACCATTCTTGTTGTTGTGGATTCTTGTTGTCGTGGATTCTAACAAATGTAAAATACATGTACTGTGAAATATAAGCTCATACCCAAAAATAAACATGTTATGTATGTGTACTAACCTCTAATTTTATTATTGCAGAAAAAAAGGTTTACTTCATTTATGTGTGGTAAAGACAAATAAAACAAAGTCAAAATTAGAGAAAGTCTTTAAAATACAAAAATATTTGCTAAAAACAACACTTTGTAAAAACAAAAATTGCAAAATTTGTTAAGTTGGGCTAATGCTAAGGGACACCTGCTAGGACAAAATTGTTTTATTGATTAATTCCCCTTATATGACATGGCAGTGTGCACTGGATCTATTTTATGTCACTGGTGATGCAATCATTTAATGCATTCATTTTGTCCCGAGTTTGCATTTGAACTATTAATCTTTTCTTAGATGAAAGTGATTTTATATAATTATAATATGCAGTTAAATTTGATAGCCTAATGTATATATTTCAGATTTTAAGATAGTCATAACAAATTTATTTCACAACAATTAAGGCATGTTAAAAATAAGTGCATATGACCTGCACATATTTAAAAAAATAAGCCCAAGTGTTCAGATTTTGTGTTATGTAAGAAGTATAAAGAAATCATCAGAAGGAGAGATTTCTTTGGACAACTGAGACTTGATCAGGGGTGATTAGTTAATAATGCTAATGAGCATGCTACTTTTTTCTTCTTGGCTGAAAAGAATGCCACAGAAAACGGCAGAGTTGTTAAATAACAGTGAAAGAATTTGAACACTAGCTTGTTCCTCTGGTCATAGACCATAGGAGCTTACAGGATGGCATGTTGTCCATCTGCTTATAAGCACAAGTTTGTTGTCACTACTTAGCTACTTGGAAATTTAAACACATTATCCCAAGTTCTATTTGGTTTTAAATAAAAATGGCCACTTTGACATCCCAATTGTTATGGTCCAAACTTGCAGTGTCAACAAAATGATACCAAATCAAAAACTGTTACCTGACCAACAAATTTATGAACTTATTCAACTTGTCTGATAATGATATTTTGACAGGTGAGTGCAATTACACTTTACTTTTGACAATCACAGGTTAAGTCCTCTCTCTCCAAACAAAGTTGGTAAGGAATATAGATATGGGTTCTATTCATCCATCTGTCCATTGCACTTTCATTTTTGGAGTACAACTCCAAAACCGTTTTATGATGTGTCTATGAAACTTAGTGCATTTCACAGATTAGTAATTGTGATGTGTCTTTTGCTATTCACATATCTTTAGTTACAATATTTTTAACAATTTTATCAATCCATCTATTAATCCCATTATCCACACTTTCATTTCTGGATAAACACAACAAAATTATTCAAGATACGACACTTGGTATATCAGAAATGTTTTATTTGTCTCTTAATATATTAAGATATTCTTTCCGAAGCACATCTCCAAAGCTACAAAGAAATGGCACACATCCAACTAGTGGTCTAGTTTTTGCTATTAGCAATTCTAAGCTTGAATTTACAAAAGAATTCTTACCTCTCTTTGTCAGTCCATCCAACTGTCCCTTATGAACAAATTGGGATAATAGTCACCAATTTATTTTAGGAATTCTATTTGCTTTTTTGAGGAATTTTGATTTTAAGTTTTTCAATCTGTTTCTCTGTCCCTCCATTTATCTAACACAAAATAAAATTTCAAATTGAAATTATATTCTCCAATTTTTGTGGAAAATTTTTTCTATGAAATCTGCTTTTTTGGTTGGAAATTTATTAATTTCAAACAAATCCCCTTTTTCTATGACACATGGCAACCCACTTCTTCACTCTTCACATGAAAGGCATTATTGTTGTGCCACTGATACCATTATTAATGGCTCAGCCAATGTGGGTACCTGAGTGCCAGCTTCTTTTCATGGGTCAGTGATTGTTTCAACGGTTTTTCCCGGGTTATTCCTCCACCATTTATACTGAACATCATGTATAGGTTATCAGGTGCTACAAAATGGCATTAAACCCAACAACAACATCAACAACTATAGTGTTGATACAGTATTATACTTCTTTCACTACTGATAGCTCCGGTGGCCTAGTAATTAGAGCATCCGCCTCAGATGTGGGAGGTAGTGGGTTCGAACCCCAGCTGAGTCATACCAAAGACTTACAAAAATGGTACTAACAGCTGCCTCGCTTGGCTCTCAGTATTAAGCAGTTAGTGTTATGACTGGTTGACCTGGTTGTCAGGATAATGTGACTGGGTGGGACATCGTACTACATGTCTGTGTCATGATGTCCCAGTGTTATACATCACAATAAACTGCCAACACTGCAGACAGCATAGTGATATGACGGAAAAATTGTTAAAGCTACATTTAAACAAAATCCAAAACCAAATCTTTTCAGTATTGTAAGTATTGTACACATCTCTAGTACATTTGGTGATAGTTTCTTTTTGCATTAGCCACCAGAAGCCCATAAACCAAAAATGCATTTCCCCAGAAGCCCATAAACCAAAAATGCATTCCTATAAGTACACACATATGGTGCCTGTATAGTTTGTAAATACATACTGTACATAATCACTCATGAGTCCAAGTGAGATAGTCTGATCCACCATAGCATGATAGATAGTCTGATCCACCATAGCATGATCCACCAGCGGATGAAAGTCTACTGAATACTCCTAATAAACTGTATAGACTCAGATCTGCTGGTGCATTATGCAATGGTAAATCTTTGTACAGTTTGCAATTAGACTCTTAAGCAAGTTTATACATTACTTCCTATATGTATATGAAATCTTTGACCATCTTTTCTGTCTCTTTATGGACATTTTGGCATGGAATGAAATATAAATTACTGAGTTGCAAGTGTCACTTTGTTTACATCACACCATTCATGCATAAAGAACAATAGTTTGGAAGTCATACTAGTTCCTTTACATTCAAGACTATCTGCCCATTTAAACTGGGCACCTTTTGTCACCTGTCTCCCTTTTTTTTTTCTTTGATATTGCTTTGTGAAGTATTTAATTTTAATTGTCATTAGAAGAGTCATGAAAATGTATTATCTGAATGGAACCATTTTGAATGTACCTGTAACAGTCATATAAAAAAAACTATTAGTACAGGAGGTTTGTATTCTGCAATGGAAAAGACTGTAGAAAATATCAGACAAGGTGACGGAGCCTGGACTGTCTGAACCTTAATGCAAGAAAACCTTTAATATTTACAATATTGTACTGTGTTCTAGTTCATTGGGGTCCCCAGGCAGCTGAGTCGTCTAAAGCGCTTATTGCTACGGATTACTGCCATCTCACCTCGGCCAATTTGGGTATGTGAGAAAGCTTGCCAGTAGCATCTAGTGGGTTGGTGTTTTTTTCCAGGGTTTTCCCTGAGTTCTTCCTCCACAATTTATATTGGCCATCATGTATAGCCATATGATGAAAAATGGGAAAAATGACATTAAGCTCTAAAACAATAACATTTCTATTTCAAATAGTCCACAAGCAACATGGTGTAAGCATGTACAAACAGTTCCAGATTTGTAAATAATAAATATAAAAATACAAGACTGATGGTATTTCATAAGTTCCACGTACCTAAAATACAAAATATATATTGTCAACCATTAGATTTGTGTTTATAAAGCATATGCTGTCACTGTAACTCAAAATATGTAAATAATAAAAAAAATCTATGCCAACCAAATTGTCTAAACTTTTTGTGCTCAATTGTGTTGAAAAGTTTTTCAATTAATATATATATATATATATATATATATATATATATATATATATATATATATATATATATATATATATATATATATATATATGTCCCAAAAGTAGAATAAAATGTAAAAAACCAGAATATTTTTTTATAATGACCTGAAAATCTAACTAGGTCATCCACACATAAATACAGAGATACACTCCCAATTTTATTTATCGGTGTTTAGTATTTTTATGCAATTTGGCTAACACACTTTTAGGATTAAAGAAACAGAAGGATATGAAGACATGACCAAATCAAGCTGTTTAAATTTGTGGTTTGCATCAACCAAAAATTTCATGAAAATTGATTCCCAATGAAAGCCAATATTTTTTTCCCAGTAAGAGTGTGTTTCGTCAGTAATACTGGTACTTACCCAATCATAATAGTTATCTGCCCACCAAGATAGCAATGAGAGTGATCTCCCCAGGATTCAGGGATTGGCACCAAATATTGTGTTTACTTTATTTAACTACTGGAGTGGAAAGCATGCTTCTATATGGATGTCACTATTGTGCACTTGAAAGGGTGTGTGTGTGTGTGTATTATGTTTGGGTTAAGTATTGATGCAGAAACATATTTTACTAGAAAAAGAAATGGCTTCTTCTTCAAATACTTTTCCCAATCACAGTACCTTAAGAGAACAGGTAAGATGTGGAGGGAGACACATCCCCTTACTACAGAGAGACCATCACATAGTTGATTCTTTCAAGACAGTACTCCAATACATTTAGTTGGCCTGGATTATGATGAAACTGGATGTGGATTTAGAAAAATCCCAAACAAGAACACAATGGTTTGTAGACTTGGTTCTGCCTTGCAGTTTGAGATAGGTGACCACAGTGGAGTTGACAGAGAGAATGAAAACTCCCTTCCCATGTTAGTTCTGCTGCCATTAATGAAGGGGCACCCACATAATTATTGGGGACCAGGAAAAACATGTAGTAGTCAGCTATTAAGTTTCTTGGATGTAGGCCAAAGCGTGTTTATAGCTAAAGTCCAGGGGTGGGATGGATGTGAATTGCCTTTTTCCTACCCTTGCCTCTGCGCAGGTGCTCATGCACCAATAAAAGCTTTTGAAATGGCTTTCATTTAAAAAATGTTGACAAATAAATGATCCTAAAGAGGCAATACTGCACTTGCTTCTGAGAATGATGGAAGAAAATGTGTCACACGCCCTCTGTTCTTGAATCCATGCAGATTGTAATTTTCAGAAGTTGTACTGCAGATGTATATGAGCCAAGTGAGGTTGCCCAATATCCTGAGACTGAATCTTTGTGCAGCGTGTGAGAAGTTGTTCCAATAGATAAAGACCTGGCCTCAATTTGGACAACAGAATCATTTGTTATGGGCACATGTGGAGGTGGTCCAGACATGTGCCATTTCCCAGGCACATTTCGCAGTTAATCAATTGATTAAATCCCAGGGACTGATGCCGAGTCCAACTGGAAGTGCCCTGAAATGGTAATCAGTGTCTTTGTAGGTAAATCAAATGAACTTCCTGGAATCCAGGTGAATGGGATTTGAAAATTAGTACCATCAATGCCCACATTGATTGCATAGTCTTTCTCCAGGATGGCAAATTTTAGAACCCATCAAAATGTTTCATCAAGAACCATAGGTTGAGAATGAAATGAGTGTGCTTAGGTTGATGACAGGGCAATGAATGCCTCATTTACAGCTGAAAGAACCCTGGACAAAGGTGGAGGTGTGCTGAAGGTAATAATGAGGCTCAAAAACCACATGTTGGTTCCATAGACCATCGTGGCATCCATTATATCATTTGGCAGTATGGATGTGTTCCCATTACTGGGATAAATGATAAAGGTGGCATGAAAATTATGTCTATTTTCTTCAGAAGGGAGGCTGTCATAGAGAGAAACGCTGGTGAAAATAATTGCCCTCTCTGCCTCTTGTCGACTTTGTTCATGAAAACTTTAGTTTTAAATGGTTTGCAGATTTGGTAGGACTGCTTCCTATTCGCTTGTGTCATATGTGATCATTTTGTTGATTCCCTTGAAATTACCTGCGGGGAAATTGTTTGCAGATATTTGTTTACCTGACCAATACAAAGGAGAAGATTAAATGGTAATGATTGTGAGTGTGTCTTGGCTTATGGTGATCTGAAGGAAGATGGAGTTAGAGAGCACTATATCATGTTCCATCAGTTGTTAGTTGCACCTGTTGTTGATATTTGTAGACTGTGTTGGGTAGGTATGTTTTACATGTGGACCAATCTGGAAAGACTCGCACATGTCCTATGTGATTCTGATTGGGGAAAGATATGCTATGTTCTGCTTGTTGAGACAGCCATAGATACTAGATCCCACATATAGTCCACAATCTCTATGTTACGAACCAACTGATGTGAATCATTCTAGAACTTTAAATCCATGTGTAAATTGCTTCATCATCCTGAAACTGCCGAGGTATTCAAATGGTAGACTGCTGTATTGTCCTTATAGAACCATGAATTTAAATTTGAGGAAAAGTGCCTTTGCGAGAACGTCTTCTAACGTTTTGGTTTTGTTATTGACAATATAAACAGCACATAATGTCAGTTAAACTCAAACCAGGCTGTGGAAGTAATTTGAAAGTAGATTCTTCCTTTTTGTCATTAATCAAATGAAACCTAAGACCAGATAGTTGTTGTATGGGGTAGGGGAAGGAGGAGAGAACTCCAGTGACAGCATGTGTAATTGAAGCTTGTGCATCAAGTAATATTTAATAATTACGATGATTCTTGCGAGCAGGGTTGATCGTCTTCAGATACATGTCTTTATAAGTCGATGTCTCTTGAGATACCTATGAAACAGCTGGAGACAGCTGGAGTGGGATTGTGGCCCACTACACTTGTAGTATATTATGAGTTGGCCCACTACACTTGTAGTATATTATGAGTTGGCCCACTACACTTGTAGTATATTATGAATTAGATACGGTAACTTCCAAGCTGTTGCTGATACAGGCTCCCTTTGAGTGACAAAAACTTGAGACCAAAATGAAGTGACATCCCTTGGATACTGAGGCACTAAGCTGGGAATCATACACAGAAAATGCCAAGTGGCACTATGCCAGTTAGACTAATCTTTGAAAGTGCCTGAATAACCTGGGTTCATGAAAGTGGACAAAGCTCTTTCTTCTGGTGTGTGATCAATTGTGGTCATGACATAATTGTGATTAAAAGTACATGGCAAGTACAATCATGACAGAACAGTGCCATCATGGTTTTCATGACACTGACATTGTCTTGTTACTGAAATTGGGATGGGGCACAGGGTTGATCCACATAGCCAGTCCATGTTTCTGATAGGCAACTGAGGCTGTGTCTTTGTTCTCTATCTCATTCCCAAAAAGTAATATGGTGCCAAACTTCTG